GAAGTTTTGTTAAAATCGGTTGAAAAATGTAGGAAATCCGATCCAATATATAAAGGAACATACACACACACACAACGTGGGTTTCATAATAAGTATGATTATAATAAAAAATATATTAAAATTGCTAGACAAAAGCTTTCATGTATCAATACTATGATTGTATTTCTTCAGGCGATGTTAAGTAACAAATTACTTACCAGTTATTTACCATTGCCTGAAGAAATACAACCATAGTATTGAAACATTAACGCTTTTATGTAGCAATTTCGAAATGTTTTTTTATTATAACCACTTATAATAAAAATATGATAATAATACATCGCTCTACTTTGAGCTTTTTTTAAGTAAATGCTACAAACAGTGGATTTTTACTCCATCTGTTCTTTCTCTCATTTGTATATATATATATATATATATATATATATATATATATTCGTTGATATTCTTTAACGAGTTTCTCATATGGTTCTTATTATCATTAGTGTCCATCCATTCTCGGTTTTATTTCTTTACCGGTTTCATATCTACTCTCCTCTATCCAAATCCTTGGTCAACATCGCCTTCTTTCATGTCACACTACTACCCGTCCCTTTAATAAAATGAATAGTGTGGAAAGATTTTTTTTTTTTAAAGATCATATAAAACAAAGCTAAAAGCCAAATAAAAGCAACACAAAAATCGTCGAGGACTCACCTTCTCTCTCAGACACTAATTGGTCTCTTTTTCATATTGTGCCAATCAAAAACAAAGAGCAGGCAGTGTAAAAGAAAGGAATAAGTGACTCTAGTACCGGCCTTTAACGAATGACCTATTCATGTGAAAATACTTCGTTTTCTGCTTTCTTTATCTTTGCTTTTTTTATATATATATATATTTTATCTTTCCTTTCCCGCTTTTTGTAATTTTTTTTTTCTTTTTTCGTTTTGGGAGGCGAAATCCTGACGACATTTATTTTTACTTTCCTTTCCTTTTTTTTTTCTTTTTCATTCTTTCTTTCTTTCTTTAAGTATTTTCGTTCGTTCATTGTTTTATTGACTCAATTATTTTTTTCTCTCTTCCATTTCTCGTCGTTTCAGTGTCTTCATTCTTAACTTCCACTTCAATCATCATTCTCAATTATTTCTTTCTTTCTTTATGTCTTCACTATTTCTCTTAGTATCTCGCATTCTTTATTTTTCTTCTTTCGCCATTTTATTGTCGTCTTTTCTTTCTCTTTTATCTCCTTTCTCTTCTCTTTCTTTATTTTCGTTTTTCTTTCTTTCTTTCTTTCTTTCTTAAGCACGTCTGTGCATTGCTTCGTTTTCATATTGATTCCATCTCTCTTACATTCTCCTATTTTTCTTTTTCTTTCTTTTCTCGTTGTTTTACGTGCTTCATTCTTTCTTTCTTTTCTATCATCTTTCTCAATTCTTCCTTTTTTCTCTTACCTGTTTCTTACTTTCATACCTTCTTTCTTTTTCTTTCTTTGCTAGTCGTTTTCCTTTCTTCATTCATTTCTTCTATCACTTTTCACAGTTCTTTGTTTCTTTTTTCTTTCTTTTTCTCTTTTCTCTTTCATTCTCTCTAACTTTCTTTCATTTTTTTCTTTTTTTTTTGCTCATCGTTTTGCTTTCTTCGGTCGTTTCTCCTTCTCACATCTTTCTCAGTTCTTTCTTTCTTTCTTTCTTTCTTTCTTTCTTTCTTTCTTTCTTTCGCTCGTTCGTTCGTTCTTTTCCTCTTCTCTGCTTACCTCTCTCTTACTTTTTCCCATTTATTCTTTTTCTTTCTTTGCTCGTCGTTTGCTTTCTTCATTTTTTTCTTCTATCATTTTTCTCAACTGATTCTTTCTTTTTCTCTTCTCTGTATCCTTCTCTCTTATTTTCATTCATTCTTTTTTTTCTTTCTTTGCCCATCGTTTTCCTTTCTTCGGGCGTTTCTCCTTCTCACATCTTTCTTTTTTCTCTTTCCCGTTTCCTTCTGCCTTTCTTTCTCCCATGCATTCTTTTTCTTTCTTTGCTCTTTCTTCTTCTTCTTCTTCTTCTTCTTCTTCTTCTTCTTCTTCTTCTTCTTCTATTATGTTTTCATTTCTTTCTTTTTCTTTTCTCTGTTTCCTTCACTCTTACATTCTTTCATTCTTTTTATTCTTTCTTTACTCATTGTTTTTCTTTCTTCATTCGTTTCTTCTTCTTATATCGCCTTTCTCAGTTCTTTCCTTTTCTCCTCTATGTTTCGGTCTTCATTCTATTAGGCGTTATCAAGGAGGATTTTAATTTTTAACTGTATGTGTATAATTTATATATATATGTATTGAGAGAAATACAATTGAGATTTGAATCCAATACTGTTCTTGTAGTGTCCTTTCTATTCGATAATATTTTCTACGTTGCTTTCACTTTCAATGACCACCCCACTTGCTCTTTGTGTCATTATCGCCTTGATTGTAAGGAAATGTTTACAAACAGAGATCGATAGATAGATAGATAGATAGATAGATAGATAGATAGATAGATAGATAGATGAAGAGAATGAGATAGATAGATAGATAGATAGATAGATAGATAGATAGATAGATAGATAGATAGATAGATACGATTACTATGTTAGCAAACGTCGCCGTGACTACAATTCAGATGTGAATCCAATACTGTTCTTGTAGTGTCCTTTCTATTCGATAACATTTTCTACGTTTCTTTCACTTTCAATGACCACCCCTTGCGATCGTAGTGTCTTTATCGCCTTTATTGTAAGGAAATGTTTACAAACAGAGATAGATAGATAGATAGATAGATAGATAGATAGATAGATAGATAGATAAATGAAGAGAATGAGATAGATAGATAGATAGATAGATAGATAGATAGATAGATAGATAGATAGATAGATAGATAGATACGATTACTATGTTAGCAAACGTCGCCGTGACTACAATTCAGATGTGAATCCAACACTGTTCTTGTAGTGCCCTTCCTATTCGATAATATTTTCTACGTGGCTTTCACTTTCAATGACCACCCCACTTGCATCTTTGTGTCATTATCGCCTTGATTGTAAGGAAATGTTTACAAACAGAGATAGATAGATAGATAGATAGATAGATAGATAGATAGATAGATAGATGAAGAGAATGAGATAGATAGATAGATAGATAGATAGATAGATAGATAGATAGATAGATAGATACGATTACTATGTTAGCAAACGTCGCCGTGACTACAATTCAGATGTGAATCCAATACTGTTCTTGTAGTGTCCTTTCTATTCGATAACATTTTCTACGTTTCTTTCACTTTCAATGACCACCCCTTGCAATCTTAGTGTCTTTATCGCCTTTATTGTAAGGAAATGTTTACAAACAGAGATAGATAGATAGATAGATAGATAGATAGATAGATAGATACGATTACTATGTTAGCAAACGTCGCCGTGACTACAATTCAGATGTGAATCCAACACTGTTCTTGTAGTGCCCTTCCTATTCGATAATATTTTCTACGTGGCTTTCACTTTCAATGACCACCCCACTTGCATCTTTGTGTCATTATCGCCTTGATTGTAAGGAAATGTTTACAAACAGAGATAGATAGATAGATAGATAGATAGATAGATAGATGAAGAGAATGAGATAGATAGATAGATAGATAGATAGATAGATAGATAGATAGATAGATAGATAGATAGATAGATACGATTACTATGTTAGCAAACGTCACCGTGACCACAATTCCGATGTGAATCCAATACTGTTCTTATAGTGCCCTTTCTATTTGATAGCATTTTCTACGTTTCTTTCACTTTCAATGACCACACCACTTGCATCTTAGTGTCTTTATTGCCTTGATTGTAAGGAGATGTTTACAAACAAACTGAGATAGATAGATAGATAGATAAGAATGAATAGTGCTCAGTATGTCCATTCTACGAAGTCTTTTCTAGCAGTTTGACCACAGATTCTCGATTGGATTTAAATCAGAAGAGTATCCAGGCCAGTCTATTTATCTAAGCCATTTCATATCTATCTATCTATCTATCTATCTATCTATCTATCTATCTACACCCTTGTGCAAATTAATTGAAGCGAAACGAATAATTCCGTTATTATTTTCTTTTATTCGTATTTTTCCAATGAAACATGACCCAGTGCACATGTTAGTACTTCGTATGTCCATTCCAGAAAGCTTTTCCTTGCAGATTGACCACAGATTCTCGATTGGATTTAAATCAGGAGAGTTTCCGGGCCAGTCTATAGTACCTTAATTTGCTCACTGCTAAGGCTTGCCAGTGTGTTCGTGCAGTGTTACAACTTCCGTATGCTTCCTTGGAATAACGTCCATCGCAAACAATGGCTGTAGGACATCTAACCGACAGTCGAGAAAATAGTGATAAAATATTGGCGTCATAAAAATCTCATGCAATAAAGGATGACGCAATATTTTTCAAGGCCAAAGACATTTCATCAGACACCACCAAAATAGATTCATATTACTGCACACTACTGCAAATGTTATAATCTGAGGAAAAATAGAAATCGATTACACTCAGTGACTCCAGAGGGTCTAAAACTGACCGCATCGTGAAAGAAAGGAAACTAAAGCGGTTGTTTCAATTAATTTGCACAAGATTATAGCATCAACCATGCTGGTGAAAGGCAGAATAGCTGATCTGCCGTGGATAAAAGATAGCAGTTTCGTTTTGCGGGTGTTAAACTTTACAAGCTATTCGTCACCCCCAGTTAACCACTGATTGGAGGTGAGTTTCGAGAGCAGCCGACAGTTTTAATTTGTTGGATATATCGGGCTTGGGCACCTCGAGGCGATGTAATGGCTAGCAAGAATGTCTTGCTAGAACAATTACGACTGAGTAGGGATTTCGGTCCTCACTGGGTGCCCCATACTTTCGGCCTTGTGCCACCTCTAAGCTACGCTTGGAAAATCACTATGTCGGGCTTGCTATTACGACAGAAGTCAAGTGTTGTATAAAACTATTACTTTTATTATTCAATACTAAATTTGTTATAACTGATACATACACGGATGTATTTGATTTGATTTACTATTTATCGATTCCACATTCGGAATATTTATGGTGGGTTTCGGCTTTATGCCACCATTGCTTTCATTTTAAGTCTAGAGTTATTATAGTAAACACACCAATTGAATCATTGGGTTGAAATATTTATAGCAACACTGATTCTTTCAACAATGAATGAAAAAATAGCTTAACAATGGGCTTTTGTCGTTGTTAATTATAAAAACCATTGTCTTAATCACTAAATTTACAAAACTCGGTTAAAAGCAAGGCCACCTCATTTTCCTATATAAAAAGACAGGTTTAATCATTCTAAAATAAAAACAAATCCTAGTGTTGTTAATCTAGTTGTCAACACAGTCTTTTCCAATAATCATGTCTACTTCAAATTATTATTCTCATCTTGATACATATATATATATATATATGTGTGTGTGTGTGTGTGTGTATGTGTGTGTGTGTGTGTGTTTAGGCAGCAATCCTTCTTTCATGCACATTTCATTGAATACGATAGGCAAGGTGCTTATATTTAGTTTTTTTTATGCAATTTCTCATGCTATCTAATAATTTTCTTTTTCTTTTCGGATGATAAATTATATAAAAACTCTCCGAATGTTCTTTTTATCCGAGCGCTTTCGGCTCTACATTTAACCATTTTCAAGGATTAAATATTTTAACTGTTAAATAAGAAATAGTTTGTTGCATGTATATTTTATAAAATGTTTTCATTTTTCAAAACACAAAAAAAAAGGTTAAAAATAATGAAAGCCTTATTGTTAAAAAAAAAAAACCAACACTTAATAATATCAACTATGAACATGGACACAATATCTTGACCATGTTTTGAAAAATCAAAAGTAAGTGACATGGCGTGTTCAGACTGTGAAGGTTTACCACGGTAGAACTGTGGAAATGGAGATACATCAGCAAGAGGCTTGCCACATCTCGCCTGTGGGAGAAATATTGAAGTGTAGAGAATAATTCGTCTCCCAAGGGCTCGTAAACGCTTCTGAAATCTATCAAGGCTGGAGAGTGAGGTCTGGGCAGCTCCCGTCCAAATATGATAACAGTCCTCCATGTTTTGGCCTGATCTAGATCTTGTAAAGATAGAAAATAGTAGGTACTTACTGAAGCGGTACAGAGAGCCAACCATTTTACCTGCGTCCTTAGCAACGCAAGGCATGTACGAGTTCCGCTTGAGGTTGAGTGTCTTCCAAGGCACGCTGCTTCCCCGAAATGGACCGTAGTTCTGTTGCAGTTTTTTCTGTATATGTATGTACTAGTGAGTTAGCCCAAATGACTTGACTCGCTTTATAGTCCACCAATAGAAAGTTAACCAATCCGAAGACGTAGAACATTCAATCCGTCGTGTATAAAGGCGGACATTTTGTTTACTCGACTCGAATGTCTAGTTCCAGCTTGTCAGGCGAAGAGAAACAGAAGGACGAACTACGCTCTGCTACTTTTTATCAAAATATCCACTGAGACTTGAACTACACTTTCCTACTGTCTTCGAAATATTCACTGCTAACCTCTGGATTTTATACTCAAAGACGACCGTCATCATGAACAACAAGTTCATCCTGATTATAGACAATACAACATTTCGATCAAGTATTATTATGAAATTATGAAAAGCGATATGAAACCACCATCATAACCAATCTGACATTGAAAAAAGGTTCACAAAAACATACCACTAATTTTCTTGGGGTCGTGGCGAGTTTCATATAGGTGCTGTCTATACATGTGTTACTTAGATATGGTAGTAAGTAACCAATTCAGCAGGAACGAACAATAATATGATAATAATGAACAGCTATCGCTTATTAGCCAGTCAATGGGTACATGATGAGGACCAAAGTGTATTTCGTCGAAACGTTGCGTCTATAATAACATTCACATCAATCGAGGTGAGAACAATAGACCGAAATAATTGAAGAATATTGACTATTATTATTTCAGGAATGAAAGAATAAAATAATCTGCTTCCATTTTAGTCCTTCTGAGGGGTGGGGGTGAACCAAACTTCTTTTTTTTTTTTTTTTTGTTTTTTTTTTCAGGCGTTTTCAACTCGATTACACAGAAAGAGTTGTCGATGCCTGTTCTTCTTCACTTGCCGAAATAAACACACATTTTCAGGATTCCATATCTAGTCCTAAATTCCCCAACTAATATTCCGCACCAAATCATATGAATCACTTATTTTGATTAAACGCGTTACTTAAAACGATTACTTCGCTACTTATTTC